CAAAGTCTGTGACTGCTGCAGTATGTTAGTGGTAGAGGTGACAGAGCACGTTTGCTGTATGAAAGTGTCATTTGTATTAAGTTCTATGGTATTATAAATCTCGTTTCTGAGCAAATAAAAGCAGCTCTCAGTTCCAAAGTGAATACTCCGTTGGAATTCAGGAAATATATTCCATGTTTTACTCCCAGTCCTCCAAATGTCCCTGTCCTGACTCCTAAGGTGTACCGGGACTTTCCTTCTTGTTTTGGAAGCCACATTTCGAGTCCTCTGGTAGTTATCTGGGATATTTATCTAATTAAAAATTCTCCCAGCTTCAACAGAGCTGAGAGTGAGGAAGAGATACCTGAATAATGAGTTGTACTACTTATCTCTAAAAGCTTTGAGGATAAGTTGAGTGAAAAACAGAATCCTAATTAAATCTATCTGAAGCTCAGTAATTTAGATTAAACTTCAGCAATAGGACCTGTGTGCTGTTAGTGTTACCCAGGAGATGTAGCAGCTAATTTCACATGTGTAACAAGTTGATCTGGCCACTTATTTACATGAGCTTATTCTTCTTTCTTGTTTCTGACCTGGTGAATTGTTGCATAGTAAAGTATGCTAGCAAATGGAACAAATACATGCGAATAAGCCTCACCAGGAGCAGCAATATTTTTTACTTTCTATATGTGCTGATAGCATCAAATTATTTCATGGACTGAAACTTACGTGATTGCTCAGACCTATCTTTGTTATCGGGGGATGTGGTCACTGACTGACTTCCTTTGGTAAACTGAACTTCATTGTTATGAAAACAAAGCAAGACTTCACATTACTCCTTTGAGAGTTAGTGGGAGCAGTTAACTGCCCCCAAAGTACCAGTGTGTATCTTAAAGGAGAGAAGCATTTTAAATAGTAAAGTTCCATCCTTGGTTGGAATCTTAACTTTTTACCGTTCCTAGAGTTACACAAGTTTAAACTGTACTTCCTGTTTTGTTTGATCTTGCCATGCCCTTTTAGAAGGGGGAATGGTTCTTGTTTTGATCCAGGTGACTAGTTAACCACAAAGCACCGTATCGCTCACAACTGGGGATTTTTCCCCTCTCCAAAACACATTCAGAAGACAGGTACTTAAGATGTTTTGTAGTGTTTATTAGCAAAAATCAGATCTTTGACACTGCTAACAACCAGTAGTATTTCCTGAGACAGAAACAGGTTGTTTATTTAGAAAGAAATCAGGTGTTGTATTTTCAGTTATCACTGGACACCAGAATGCATGACCTCTTGCTGTCTTTCCATGTTGGAACCAATGCTGATATTTAAGCTCTCTTGAATACTTGCTTACATATTTGATTCTCACAACGAAGCTCCTACAAAACAAACAAAAAATACCCATATATAGTAACCAAAGGAACTCCAAAGGAGAAGACATATTTTGCTATGCCCACTGACCATCACTGAGCTGCTGTGCTAAGTTATGCTTAACGTTCTGCATTTGACTGTGCAAGATGAATAAGAATGAAATGGTAAAACTATATTGTGGGTTGAACTTGATGATCTCTAGAGGTCCCTTTTAACCCCTACAATTCTGTGATTCAGCTAAACTAGCTGAAAGCAAAATGTGTTCCTTATGTACTATTCTGTGTATTATTGAGGTAGAAGACAACTTGCACATTATGACTACAATACAGGTTGCATTTTTTGTCACCTAGAGACAGTTCAGAAGTAAATCAAATACCAAATGGAGGTCATCTCCTTCGAGCCAGTGAGTCCAGCCCCTGTTCTTCTTCTCCCCAGCCTGGACACAGACAAGTTTGTCATGGTCCCAGGTAACCAGGCTCTGTTAAAAAGAAACCAAGTGTTTATGTTACCTCAGTTCTGAAATGTCTAGTAGACAGTATCCTTTCTTCCTTGATAAAACGTACCTAAATTAAATACTGTTGCTGAGGGAATGTGGAACTTTTGATCACTAGCTGAGGCTCTTGCATCTATACCATACTATCTATATTAAAAATAGTATTATTAAAACAATTTCAATCTAGATAGCAAGGCTAACTACAGCATCTTCCTTCTGTAAGAACACATTGATTTTTGAATTATTCAGTCTTACCTTGCATTTTCTGTTATCCAGGCCTTTATTGTCTTCCTCAAACTCTTCACCAGTTTTGAATTGGAGCATGTAGTCTCTGAATGTGCTTGTAGTATGGATGGAAAACGAATCGCCATCCTGTTTGATCACTTTCTGAGGCTTCAGCATTTTTGCTATCTTGCGTGTTGCAAAGTCAATGCCTTTGACAGAAGAAAAAAGCCAGTGAGAGTTGTACTGCTCACTGAGTGTTCCGACAGCTGGGATTTACCTGTACTGCTTCCAGAAGCATTTCTTAGAGATGGTTTGACTTACTGCTATGCAAATTTGGTTTTGTTGTTCTTGTTTTTATTTTCTACTCCCCCAGTAGTGCTATGTTCCACATTTAAGGCATGTTCTTGAACATTTGGTCTTTTTACATACACCCAGACTCCAAGAACTCCCTACTTATTAGCTACAAGGAAAAATAGTTAATGGTCTTTCATTATCCTTAGAGAGGAAAGGAATCATGTGGTATAGTTTTTTGAGGCAGTTTCTGTAAGTCTGTCCTGAAAAGCAAAAGAAGTTCAGTAGACAGAGAGCTCTTCCCTGTCTCTGAAAGGTGTACAAAAGTTCTACTTGTCTCAGTCTGGTACTTGTTACATTCCTGAAGGCTGCAAGGACAGCTGGGTGACAGGCTGAACTGATAGCTAATGCTGTGCCAATAACCAGCTAGTAAATATCCTCTGCTATGTTTTGGGGAGGAGTGGGAATCATCAATATCTAGGTTTTAGAAGAATTCAAACAATTAATCAAATCAATTAAAATGCAGGAGGCCCCTCACAAGGGAAGAGAGAAGATAGGATTAGGTCTTTTCACCTACCTAAAGCTGTCATGTAGCCTTCAAAGTTGTCATTACTGACAAGGTTCCAAGTTCCACTGAAATCCACAGGCATTGCTAGATTGTGAGAAGGAGTTACAGTCAACCCCTGTCCAAAAGCAGAAGTAAAGAAACAGATTTCCAACCAGGCCTTATATGAGAGACCGTGGGTGGGATTGTGTCTGAGAGCATTGATGGGGGAGGGGAGGGGTACTGCTGCTGAGCCAATAGGAAAGGCAATATCTGTAGATGAGCATTGCCTGGGTTGGAGGGAAAAGTTCACAGTTTCCGAAATCTTTGTATGGAGCAAATGTTATTAACTCAAGAGTCACAGCATAAACCAGAAACTGATTTAAACAGCTTCTGTCTATCTTGTATCTTTTAAAAGGTATCATGGACACAGTTTGTCATTCCTAAGACTTCCTGTGTCCACATTCAGTCTGAGGGTTTATGATTTGAAATCTAAATACTTTTTTGAAAAGGAGATCTACCCATGGGGCTGTATCAGTAAGTCTTAAAGCTGTACTTCGGTGTAATAGAAGTGAGCAGTATACCTCATTGGTTTGTGTCTGCAGTGAATAGTGGGCAGCGTTGTTGTCTAGCAGCTATAACAGGAAAGTGAAAGGCAAATCTTATTTGCACATTATTCTCTGATGTGATCCTCAACACAACTCTGCTGTGCCACAGTTATCTGTTGATGTTCTGACTTCTTTACTTATGTTACTTATGTTCTGGCTGGACCAAGACCCAGACTCATGAGCAACGTGCAGAATGAAAGCAAAATTCTGTTTTCTCTGGTACTTTACCAGACAGTAAGCTTATGTAACAACTGAGGCTGCAATGACAGATCTAGAGGCCTGAGGTCTGTTCACAGTTCTACAGCTGTGTCTGTGAGCTTTCTAGAGGAGAGTTGCATTTCTTTAACCTGAAGGAAAGGATCTGAGGAGGTGATAAAGCATTCTTCCAGAACTGAAAGAGGAGCCTACAAGAGAGCTTGTGAGAGACTTTTTACAAGGGCATGTAGTTATAGGACAAAGGGTAATGGTTTTAGGCTGGAAGGTACATTTTGGTTAAATATGAGAAAGATGTAGTGAATTTTCTTCACTGTGGGGTGTTGAAGCACTGCAAGGTGCTGCCCAGAGAAGCTGTGGAGGCCCTGTCCCCAGAAATACTCAAGGCTGGGTTGGATGTGACTCTGAGCAGCCTGAAGTAGTTGGAGGTGTCCTTGCCCATGGCAAGGGGGTTGGAAGTAGATTGCCTTTAAGGTCCCTTCTAAACTGAATGATTGTCTTCCATGAGAAGAGAACTTGCTGCTTTGAGTTTGAATGAGAGAACTCACAGCTGCTACTTTGATCTATTCAGGGTAGTCTGAGTAAAAGGATAATACTTTGCAGAGAAGATTGTTTCACTGAACTTTAGCTACATTTTTGGAGCAAAGTTTGACCTGTATGACTCACAGAATCATGTGGGTAGGAAATGAAGACGTCAAAGCTTCTTTCCTGTTTGCGGATGGATATTGTTCTCCAACATATACTTAACTAGGACTGGCACAGAGGAATACAAATGAATGCTCTTCCTGGACTCAGTAACATTTCACCCACAACTTGTTACTACGAAGTTGTGATACTTGAAGAGCTCTGTTGTGTGCTCCTGTCTCTTCCAAGAAAAGAGAAATCAGTACTAGGATAAAGCCTATGTAGAAATCTGGATTAAAGTTGCAGTTCAATACGAAGATTCTGCAGATTGCCAGGATTTACAGAAAGAAACATTACATTTCAAGTCTAATCCAAGGAACCGGCTGTGGAAATTTTGTTAAGAGCTACCTGCTGTCCTGTGATGGTTCAGTTATCCTTCCCTTACAAATTCTACTGTTTTTCTTGTCAAGATTCTTATTTTTTCATTTTTATCTTAATTGCTGTGCAGCACTGAGCATCGAACACAACTCAGAAGCAGATAAAGTGCTCCTATTGCTGTTGTAGCGTTTGTAAAATAATTCAATCTGAATTACACGTGTGATATAAGAGCCCTCTGTTCTCTTACTAGTGCAGAATCAAATGCAATAATGTAAAAAAAAACTAAAACAAGAAAAGAAGGCAATTTATTTTACAGAGCATCTATGAATACGTTGTAGCTTCTTTATAGAAGTTCAATGAACTGCATTATTCACAAACTTTACATTTTGAAGAATATAAATTCTCTGTAGATAAAGCCCACTCATGGAAGTTTTACTTCTTTATCATTTTGCAAAATGATGCTTCACTAATTATGATGCTGCTATTCAGAACAGATTAGAACACTAAATTGTGTGTGTGCTTACTCCCAGTGTTGTAATGGAGGCTTCTGGATCTCACTGGTAAAACAGAAGATCTATATTCATTGCAGTTTTGAACAATATTCTGGTTTGTATGGAAAAAACTCTACTGATAATGTGCTTCCCTCTTAAAAGTCGTGCAGTCAACAGACATCAGAGTTGGTTAATGACTAAAACTAGTACATTACATGCAATTTACTCTGTTGAAAAACCCATCATGTGTAACTACATGAAAATGCGGTGAAATAGTGTCTGATAATCAGTGCTTCATGAAGCATTAAATTATTATTATTACTTTCAAATATGCAGTTTCTCTAGAGTTGCACAAAGCAAACCCATACACACCAGTGTCGTTACTTAGAAGAGTAAACCTAAAGCACATTTTCATGCTGAAAAGTGACCACAGAAATAGGTTGCTTTCCCACTCAATAGATCTGCTCTGTTTATTCAGAAACACACTAATCGAGTTGAGTAATTAATTTAGATCTTGTTCTTTGCTCTTATCTGCCACAGAGACAGCAGACAGAAAAGAAATACAGATCTTGTTCTTTCCCATGCACCATCACTAATATAGTTCAAATTCAATCTTCAGTGGCATTTTGATTGCTGAAGCATGACAGAGGTGCTTAATGTGTCCTTCAGTACCATTAGTACCACTGATTATGCATGAACCCAGCCTCCTTATCAAGACAGCGTAAGCTTGCCTAAGCTCCAGTGGAATGAGCACATTTAATGCAGGAATCACCCGGGGGGGGGGGGCGGGGGCAATCCTTGGAGCTACTTCATGTCACCATACAGTTACAGATGACCTGCTTAGTTCTGATTCGGTTTTGATCTCGTATGTTCTCTGTAATGGCCACTTATGCAGGCTGAATCTAGAACAGGGGTTCTGCTCTGTGGTAATTGCAAAATATTTTGTGAGGCTCCAGGTGTGCATCCCTGATCCTAGCCCCACTGCAAACTACAGCTCTTCCCACTGAAGTGTTGACTCCTACAGGAGCCCTGCGCACAGGACCTCAGAATCTCTCATTCTATTGGCTTTGTGAATCTGAAAAATGTGAATAGATTTGCTGTGCAGAGGTACTGTGCGAAAGCTGTTGACCTGTTAGCATCTTGGAAACCTTGACACTTCTAGTAAAGCACGTAATCTTAAAAAAAAAAAAAAATGGGATGGCAGCAAAGAAAGGGAGGTACAATTCAATTGCCATGGCATTCATAGTGCCTCTCTAGTTTATAATGATATAATAGAGACAATATTTTGTTAGATTCTAAATCAGGTTTCCAGCAAAGAAAACCATTTTGCTTATATATGTTCCTAGCATCCCACTATTTCTTCTCAATTCCAGTAGCAGCAAACAATTGTCTCTGTTTGGCTTAAAAGTTAAGGCTCAGTTGTTACTGGAAATAAAAGGAGAATGGTATGAGAATCTGCAGTGATGCTGTTATTAACTTATAGCCATTAAATCAATGGCTATAAACCAGTTTTTGAAGTAGGTCTATCCTCATTTGAGAAATACTGCTGAACTTAATCTAGAGCTCTGGAACTGTGAATGAAAAACTAAAGCATGAGGTATTTGGGCTGCAGATTGCATGACAGCAAACAAACAGGCTTCATATTTGAAAGGCAAGCAACTGATAGCATGGTATAGCTAGCACCCAGCAGTAGCTTCTTCCTTCTACAGGATGCAGCCAAATAATTCAAGTTGCATCATGTGTTAGCAGTTTTTAAAAAATTAGTTATTGCAGATTTACCCTCAGAAGTGGTGAGTTTCAAGTAAGATGACTTTGCTACTTATAACGCTGAGTTATTTGTGTTCCTATTTCATAAATAGCAGTCACAGTAGTCTAAACTAAATCAGAACACTTTCACTTGCTTTGTTCATATTTGTAATTCTCGTACACTATGGTAAATTCTTGTATTTAGTTCACTGAACTGTGACAGTCTGTCTAGATGTGGAAATCTTATTACAGGATTTTATAAAATGAAGAATATATAGGCCCCCATGTTAAACAAACCAAACCTTGTCAGCAGCTGCACATCACTGAAGCTGTAGAATTTGCTTGCTACTGACAAAAAAAAAAAAAACCATCTTCATGTACTGGACTATTATCTTTTTTTATCTTTTCACACCAGAAAGCAAATTATCTGTGAAGTGCCTGCTAGTTCTTAGAATCACTTGCATTTTTCTGTAAAGGAGCCAAGGTAACCCCAGCATTCCTGTCTTCGCTCTCTAGGCTGTACAGATCGTTTTTCTCTATGTATGCCCGCACCACATCAGGCACCAGGTAACGAATGCTCTGTCCTCTCCGCAGCGCTCTCCTGATTTTGGTGGAGGAAATGTCATTTGTGATCCATTCTTCCACGAGATGAATGTTGTTCTTGTATTTCCACAAAATATCAGATTCATAGATGAATTTCTGAATGCTGTTTCCAGCCCTACTGATGCATACAAGACCATAATTTTGTATAATTTCAGTGATGTCTTCCAACTTCCACAGATTGGGGATCCCAAAGGATTCCAGCACGTCACTTCCACAAAGCAGTTTAACCTGTGGGACATCTTAAGGCAGAGAAATAAGTAAGAAACAGGGTGTGCTTTAGGTAGCCAGATGTTAGCTAATGTGATGGGGACATTTAATATCTGGGTTACCTCTGTTGTCTTGGTTAAGATGAGACAATGGAATGAAATAAAAAAGATTCAGAGCATACATCTTACAGTTAGTACCTTTTAATATATAATTTTTCTGAGCAGAAAAGAAAAAGGTTACAGAAGCCCATAAAATGACCCTGTACCCAGATGCATCCTGAATTTTGAGGTTTCCTTTCTTTCTTGAAACATTTATAGTTTATGTTCCAAAATTCTAGCTGTAGTTGGAGTATAGCAAAGTTGTATAGAAGAAATGGATAGCTCTGGCTTTTTCCAGCTGAATTTCTATTAACTTGAATATTTTTTTGTTTGATATATTTTACTCTTACAGTCTTGTTACAAAGCCTACTGCTGCATGCTATGGGATCTTGGTGAATAACCTTCAGTGAAATCAACAACTAGAACTAGCATGGAAAGAAGTTACTCATCTGCACGGCTCCCTTGAAATAGCAACTACTGTTAAGCATTTAATTTGCAAACAGACTTAACTTTTTCCATCTGAACTCTGATTTTTCTTCTTAATGGGGTCGTGCCTATTTGGTTCTTGTTTCCTCTTCCGTCCCGGCTTTGTTAAAGGTAAAGCATTCTGCAGACTAATGGTAGCATCAGGGGATGAAAGCTTTTCATGATGGTGCCTGCAAAATGGAGGTATTTCAGATACAGAAGAATACAGGGAAGAGTATTCTAAACAGAGCCTACTAAATGACCTTTCACCACTTCCTCTTGTAGCACCTGCACAGAAAACCCATCCAAGAAGGGAGCTGCTGGAAGAGGGAGCTGTGAGAGCTGGCTTGTAAGATGGTGCAAGTGTAAAGATGTCAGAGCAATGAGTGCAGGCTTTATTTAAACTGAAGTTCATTTTAAGAAGAACCTCAGTGAACAATGACTAAAAGAGTAAAATGTAAGAAAATACTACTGTAAATGATCCTAGTGACAGCTTTTACATACACAAATGGGCAGTGTAACACAAACTCAAGTGAGAGAAACTTGCATAGTTTATGTACACCCTATTCTAGTCTCCTTTCTTTCCTCAGGAATATATTTTCAGCACAAAAACTGAATAGATCCTAAGAAAATACATATAAACATACAAATTGTTCATGGGCTCCTTTTGTGTATCTATTGGACTAATGGTGCAATCCTTTGTTTACAATACTTATATAAGTAGTACTTTCTACTTCAGTGAGTCTATTCAGTGTGGTTTGGGGTTAGCCTGCTATCATTCTAACATCTAGAGCTAACAGCATTCCTTGTCCTTCTGTTGGTTCTTAAGATTGTTAGGATTTGCAGAAAAGTACCTTAAAACTTTCACTGTTTCCAACCACTCACTCTGGCTGCTTTCCCAGTCATCAACTTCCACCCAATCTGAGTTACTGGTGGCTAATTTTGCCATAGTTACTCGGTGATCAGCACTGATCAGACCCTTCTTCTTATATGCATCACCTACTGGTGAAATTATTCCTTTGATTACTTTGTATTTTCCTGTTGGGGAAAAAAAAACACATCATCCTATCACACAAGAACACAGAAAGTGCTTGAGCAGATGTTATTTCCAGAGTATTGTATGTAAAGCATTACACACCCATTATTCACTGTAGTCCCTCAGAACACCAGTAACAGATCCTATAAGCAGCCCAGTGGAAAAGTACTGTATATTTCTGCCACTGTATGAGGTGGCACAATTAAATATTTAGTAAGAAATGTTGGAAATATATATTTAATGACATCTACTTGTGCCTTTCTGATTTCAGAAAGAAAAATCAAAGAACCTGTGCCCTAGCTCATTCCAACTAGTAAAAGGCAGCAAACACATGAGAATGTTCATTCATGTATTTAGCCTACAGCATTTAGTAGGAATGACGTACACTCAGTAGCTTCAATACTTAATTAGTTTTCCAAAAATAGCTGTGTAAGTATCTCAAAAGAGAGCTGTTTTAAATGACATAAATTACCATCCTACCTGTCTCATGGAGATAGTCTTTAGCCAGCTCAAATAGCCTCAGATGCATGTTGGTAATGGGATTGAAGGACCCACAGGCCAGCAGCACTACTTCTGTCTTCCTGTCGGGATCTTCCATTGCCATTCCTCGTGGCCACAGAGCCAAGTGCAGAAGGTTGGTTCTAGTTACCAGCCTGTTACTGCGAGGAGATTACAAAGTAGTTATTTCTACTCACGGGAAGATGATTTAAAGATCAAACTGAAGACTGTTTTCCTTCTGTTAGTATCTGGCCTGTGATGGCTCATGTGATACCACGTTATCCATCTTTTAACAGGTTAGGTTCACCTTTCTTTCTGCCAATCCCTGAGTAGAATGATGTGACAACAGTGACTTCACATTGCAGAAATAATTTTTCTGTGGCAGTTCAGAAGTAAGGGATATTGACAGAAATGAGCATGCTAGGAGGAAAACAAAAGTTATAGATGTGTGATGCTGGATTTGCCTTGTATGTTATCTTAGCAGTTGTGTGTCCCTCCTACATGCAAGAGGAGGAGGCGTTTTCAGGAAGCTCAGTGACAATGGACAGCTCACATAAAATAGCAACACAACGAACAAATAATTAAATCATTAATTACATCATTACATGCCCCAACTGCAGGGCAAGCAAATGAAAACTGGAATATATTATGTGCTGTCCTCCTACTGTTGCTGTTTGTGAGATGTTTGAGGCGTCTGTGTTGAGCGTTGAATAGCTTGCTCTTATTTCTATAGTAATATCAATGCCTGGAAAAATCCCAAGGTCAGCCTCACATTCAGCCTGCTTTACAAAGAGGCTGAAATGCTCACTGCCCCCACAGTGTTGAGATCTCATCACAGCTAAATCTTCAAACAGCTTCTGTCTCCTGACTTCAAAAAGCCCTTGAATAGAAGGAATTCTTGCAAGGCATGTTATGAGGTACATTTTGCCAGTTTTAGGACTTCTCTATGCTTTCAGGAGTTTCACAAACTTTTAAAATATTCCTTATTGCTCCTGAGTAGCTCAGCGTTTGTAGGGCTCAATGTAAGTAGGAATAGAGTCTAGCATCAACTACAAGAATTACCATGGGAACAGGCAAGGAAGGAGCTGAACTTGTCTTTGTAATGCAGAAAGGTCTCCCTTTGTAAAGAAAGTGACTCTTGCAAACTGGAAAAACTGTTTAAAAAAAAAAAAAAAAAAAGAAGAGAGTAAGGGCAAAAATAATGGAAGATTTCAGGATGGAAATGTATCGTGACTTTTCTGGTGTTCTAATGTCTCCTTAGAAGCAGTAGCTATTAATTTACACACAGTCACCTTGTGTGTCTGCACTGATGATAGCAGTGTAACCACTTGCACATGCTATTTCCTCATCTGCACTGGCACGCTCTTTTGAAAACTGTACAGAAAACAGCCATGTGGTTGTTGTGGAGAACAGAGCCGAGGACAGAGGTATTGTTGTGACTCCCACTGCTGCTTTGTCATCCTCAGAACCTGCACAGCACCTTCACAGCTGGGATCTGCTCTGCACGAAGTGACCTTGGTGCAGCTCTGACTTTGGGAAGAGCACTGTGTGCATGCGCTATGGCAAAATGAACAGCTGGGTGTGAGACTGCTAGCGATATTCCCTCATGCCAAGTACTCAATGTTGGTGCCTCTCTGTAGAGACTCAAGAAGAAACGAAGCACAGCTGCTGTCAGTCCATTTTCAAGTAAGCATAGGACAGCCTAGACTGTTTCCTTCTTCATAAGGAGGAAGAGATGTTCTGTGATGCACACGATCCTGTCCGTACGTGTTTATAGGCCCACCGTGCTCATACGGGATGCCACCGCTAATAGCTGTGCTGCTCACAGCCCTCACGGTACTTAGCTGCACCGCACTGCAATCCAGGCCATGCCCACGGCAGATCTCGGCCCAGCTCTGAAACCCGTTACCATCCAAGGATGAGCAGGCAGCGGTGATCGCACCTTGGCCTATTTTTGTATTTTAGAGGCAAACGTTCGTTTATTAAGCACGTTTACATACTTACAGAATATCGGTCTCCGTTTGCGTTAACTTTTTACTAGGCACGCCGGCTGCGTCTCCGTCCCCGCAGTCTCCTCCCACGACAGCGAAGGCTGCCAAAGCGCGGCACCGGCGCAGCTCCTCCCGGCCCGGCCTCACCCCGTCAGCCCCGCGCCCTCGGGCCGCGCCGCGCCGCACTCCGATTGGCCGGGCGCGCCGGAAGCCGCTCCGCTCCGCCGCGGCGCCTTTCCCCGCGGTCCCGGTAGCGCAGGCCTGCCCCAGGTGAGGCTGCGGGACCGGCGGTGCACGGTGGGCCGGGCCGAGCCGAGCCGAGCCGAGCCGAGCCGAGCTTGAAGGCCGCGTGCTGGGCCGGCGCTTCCCTATCTCCGGCACCGGCGGAGCGTTGAGGGAGAGGCGAGCTGCAGACGGGCCTCAGGCGGCGAGAGGCGGGATGCGCTTCTGTTCCGTCCGTTCGTGTCTCCTCCCCCAGCCCTTCCGTTATCTCGGCCGTGCCGTAACGGCGGAAGGATCGTGTTTCCTCGTGCGGTTTGCGCGAGCAGCAGCTGCTAAGCGAAGGACGTGCTGCTCGGCCGGGCTGGAAGCGAGGCGTTGCCGAGCGTGCTGTTTGGGTCGTCTGCTGCGGCCTATTGAACAGCCGAGAAAGCAGGAATTTCCCCTGCAGCGCTCTAGTTTTCTACGGATGACGTTTTTATTTAAGGTGTTTGCGCGCTTCAGGAAGCTCAGTCTGGGTTGCTGTTTCTTGAATCGTTCCCCGAGGGGCAGTTGAAGACAAGATGAAGAGGTTGAATAGTACTTCTGGGATGTGAAGTGACGGCCTCCAGTCGCACCAGGGGAGTTTTAGTGACACCAGGAAGGATAAGGGTGGTTAGGTGCTGGAGCCGGCTGCCCAGGGCAATGCAGAGTCACACACCACAGAGATTTTCAGGAGATGTATGGACAGGAGGCTTAGGGGCATGCATTTCTGGTGGATGGAGTAGTATCAGATTGGTGGTTGGACATGATGATCTTAAGGGTCTTCTTCAACTTGAAAGATTTAGTAAGAGCCTGTTGTTGTGTCTAAAGGACATGAGAATATCAGTATTTGGTGATTGGTTTCACAAATGTTTCCATGTGCAATGGTTATTTGAGTTATTATCTGGAGTATGACTTTTTCTACAAAAAAATAACCAAACAAACCAACAGCCTAACATTTCTGTATTTCTGTTGTTGGTGTCTCAAAGTGCTTTTACTAGATATTCCATCATTGAGGTATTGTATGTTGATACTGGAATCGTTTTAAAACCCATTTCAAGCTGTTGATCCACAGCCATAAAGTACTATTTTTTCTAGGATTGTTATGTGACAACTTAAAATTTTCATATGAAACTTGAAAATGGCTTCAAGAGGAACAACAGAGACCAGTAAACTGAAACAAAACTTGGAAGAGCAGTTGGACAGGCTAATGCAGCAGCTTCAAGATCTGGAGGAATGCAGGTAATAATAGTGGATGCTTTCCTCTTAAAGGTGAATTTTTTTCTGAAATTGTTGGCAGATGAGAACTGCACCTTTCATAAGCATTAGGTTTGTGTTTTGTAGTGATTCTGTTTTTCTAATTATGATAAGGTGTCAGGTAGTCAAGGTGACTTTAACAAATCTTTTTATTGAGGTCATTCTGTTGCCTTGTGGAAAAGCATCGTACCAAACTATGAAGAAAATCAACTCTGTTCCAGCTGAAACCAGGACACTGGGGCAAAAATGATCATTAATGTTATCTTTGAAATGTTGTGTTTCAGTGGGATATTTTTACTTTTATGCTTTTTTAATAGCAGTTACTTTTGTGTCCCTGTTGCTTTGTCTAACGATTACAGATGCTTTGGTTGTGAATTTTTATGTATGAGGAAGCGTACTTCATGGTGCATCCTCATGTCCTTGTCTCCATGTTACAACTCAGATTTAATTCTATGAATTAACATGACTCATTGGAATCTCTTTAGAGAGGAGCTAGATGCAGATGAGTATGAAGAAACCAAGAAAGAAACTCTAGAACAGCTGAGTGAGATCAATGACTCACTGAAGAAGATTATGTCTGGAGATATGACGTTGGTGGATGAGCTCAGCGGCATGCAACTGGTGAGTCTGATTCTCATTCAGATCTGTCTACCCTGTGTGTTACCTAAAATGAGGCTGAATTCTGTCTGGACTCAGTGAAACAGTAGATATAGATGGTCTTCTGTAATATCTAGACAGGCACGTGGGAAACCTATTATTGGAGAGGAAAAAACATAGGAAACAGCAAGGCCTGAATATTAGAAAAACATTATATATATATATAAATATATGTGTATTTAATAATATAAAGGATGTGAAGGAAAATCCAGGACTTTGGGTATGTGGAGAGTTCGTGCCTATTTGCTAAGGGTGAAGATAACATTTCCCTGTGCTCATGTTACTGGTTTGTGTTTCAGAGTCCAAATGCAAAGGCTGTAAAAGTGACTCTAATTTAAGTTCCTTTGTGATCTTTTTTATTGTGACTTGCAAACTTCTGATCCATTTTGTCTTTTCAAGTGTTTAATGAAAGCATGATTCGTTTCTTCTGAGCCAGATGTGTTAAGTTTTTGTTTCCAGAGACATCGTGGTTTGTCCAAACATGTGGTGAGATTTAATATAACAGCTCTGATACTCCCCAGAGGAGTTTGAATGGCAGGAGATTGGCACCATCAATTACATTCTGCTTACCCTTGGAAGAGCTGTAGTCATCAGTGTGGGCATTAAAACTGCTACAGATAGAGTAGCACATCCACGTGTGTTATGTTAATATCAGGAAGATGTTGGAATTTAATTAACACCTAGATTCTAATTGTAAGTTTCGTATCCTTTTCTCAGAATGATTGCACCAATTAGTGGACTTTTTAAAACCCTGCACAAATGTTTTGTTTTTTTTCATCTCAGTTCTATGGTTATACAAACAAAGAAAAGCTCTCTTATCAAAGGATTCAGAGGATATTAATGATGCTTTCCAGCCTTCATTAATCTTCTCATGCAGTTGTAGATTATGATTGCTATTAGTTCTGGTCATGTTTCTTCTTTTCCCTGCAGGCAATACAGGCAGCCATCAGCCAAGCATTTAAAACTCCAGAAGTAATTAGAATGTTTGCAAAGAAACAACCAAGGCAATTGAGGACAAGGTTGGCAGAGGTGACTGCTTCTGTTTTACTGTAAAAACTGTTCATTTGAACTAGATGCTTCAATTTGTAATGTTTGCAAGAAGAGATTGGAATTACTGGGAAGCTTAAAGTATTTTGACTTCTTTTTCCCTTGTTGTGCAGATGGACCGAGACCTAATGGTCGGGAAGTTGGGACGAGACCTGTACACACAACAGAAAGTTGAAATCCTGACTGCCCTCAGGAAGCTTGGTGAGAAGGTAAAGTATTGGTTTGATAGCTAGCTGGTGAATAGCTGGTTTATATACTGCAGATTGATTTTAAAGGGCTAAAATAAGAAATTATAACTTTCTTAATGATCATCAAGTGTGGCAGTAACCGCCCTGAAGCACTTGTACTAAACATATGTCAAATAGTATCATGCATTTATATGAGACAAGTTTAAGAAGCTGTCATTGTCATTGTCAGGCCACGTGAGTGGATCGCACGGAAGCTGGTGCAAGGTGCCAATACATCAGGAAGCAGCAATACAAGTTGTTATTAGCTAACTGCCTCCTATCAACCTGGGAGGAGCTAAGACTCCTGCCATGCTTTAAGCTCTAACTTAACTCTGTATTATTTATAATACCTATTTCTTGGTGTAAGATAAATAACTTTGAGAAATAGGTGGTAAACCTTGTATTCCCCCAGTAAGTACATCAGTGTGCAGAACAATCCCAGGTTGTTTTTCGTTTCTTGATTGTGGTTTGTTTTTCTTTTACCACTAGAGGGAGGAAGAGAAGTTGTTTCTTCTTGTTGAAGGTATATGAAGAAAATGGGTTGCTGATATCTCTGCTATATTTTCCTAGTGAGGAAATGTAATGGAAAAGATCAAGGGAGTGCATTAGCAAATGTTTTCACTATGAATATTTTTATTGCTAGACTGTCAGAGGAAAAAAAAAAATTGGCAATAATTAGAAAGGCTAACTAAAACTGCTACCTAATATATATGAAGATATGTAACCCTCCTGTTATGAGTTCCTTGGGCCACCTCACACAAGCCTCTATGTTATGCTTTGACAGCCTCCTTATCTCTTAAAATGGTCAGTAGTCTATTTCATGCAGGACTGCCTATAGTAACAGTTCTGTTCTGAAGGTTTAAAAAAAAATAATTGACAGATATATGTTTATCTGCAGTGTAGTGCTAAATGTGTAGTAGTTAGATGCCTGCTTACAAAACATAGCTGAAGTAGGAAACTAATACTTTTTCCCCAGTTCTCACCTGGTGGTCTACTGTGGCCTCTATTCTTAAGTATGGAACTGATATAAACACTATGAATAGCTTTACATGTTTAATTCTGCTTTAATTTAGTCAGAATATTGATCTGAGGCTATTCAAATGAGCAAATTTTAACATAGAATATCTGCACCTTCCAGATGTAGATTATTGCTTCATTATTATAAATATTTTATGGGCGTCTGTCACCAAGACATCAGAGCATAAACATAAAAGCAGAATCTACATGTGTAAATGTCACTGATGGTTCACAGCGCTGTGAGGAACAGACCATTTTCTAGGTCACTGACTGTTAATGTGGTCAAAGCTGGCAGCAGCTGTTTTTGCTCTCACTGGTGGGTGATACAAAGCACTTTAACATCTTAACTCATTTCTGTATGGACCACGTCACAACAAAAGTAATTAACAACCTTTGCATAGTTGTGGTACAGAGGTGCAGGGTGACCATTTAATCCAAAATGATCGCTGGAGCTCCTGAGACTTAGTGCTATGTGTATGCTGCCCTTGTGGGGCTGACAGACAGTGTTGAGGAAGAAATTCAGTGGTAGGGACAGAAGCTTGCATTTTTACTTTGGCTTTTACTATTAGATGAAGCTGCAAGTTGATAGCTCCTGTAATCTGTTGTATTTCATATTTATAGATGGTGGGAATATGCACAGGTAAGATAGCAAGTTCACAGTTATGGCCTTTTTTTCATTTAGCTGACACAAGAGGATGAAACCTTCTTGTCAGCAAATGCAGGTGCAGCCCTGAGCCAGTTTGAGAAAGTCTCCTCTGACCTCGGTGAGTTTTCGTTCTCATAAATCCTGACTGCATTGCTTCTTTGGACAGCAACAGATACAAATGCCATGGATTCTCTGTGGAAAGGAAAATACAAGCAAAAGATTGATGCCAGTAATTTTGATGTACATTTTTCTGTTTTATTAACAATGAAACTGTGATACATTGTCAATGAGGGAACAGCTATGCAGCAGATAAACCAAGTAACAACTGGCCATAGAATGCTGAATGTTTCCCTAATGCTGAAGGCTTAAATGCTCTCTCTCAAGCAAACAATATCACTCTCAGAGTTAAACAATACTTTTAATTACTCTTCAGGAGAGCCTTTTTCTCTACTTGATGCAGAGAATTCTGCAGTTACTGGCACACTGTCAAAATATAGTTTAAAGCACTCTTCTTGCTGTGATTGTCATAACTCTAATCATGTTGACAAGACCAAAAGTTCACTTACATTATACATTAAATAAGCATGGCAGTTCATTCTATTAGTACAGTTAGAGCTGTGATGAAAGAACTATAACTGGCAGGAATGTGCCAGAATAGGTCAGGGTACAAATGAACTGGTTTTCTGACCTAACTCTCAGTAACTCTTCTTTCTGAGAGTGCAGGCAAGGTGGGAATCCCTTTGTTCAGAAGGGTACTTCATTAGAAGCTCTCTGCATAGCTAGCTTCAGACCTGTCACATCCAGCATGTCTCCTTTTTCTTTTCTTTAAACGAGCTCAGGTGTTCTAGTTTTCAAAATGTAGGTTTGATTTCTTTTGATCTTGGATGTTTTGCTTTATTTGTTTATAAGGAAATTCTCTAAAATACAATTTCTACTAATGCTAATAAAAATGTTTTTTTCCTCTCAAAGGATCAGGAGACAAAGTCTTCGCTCTAGCAAACTTTGAAGTAGAGAAGGCAAAGCAATGAAGAGGTGTGTGAGACCTGTGAGACTCGAGTCTCTCCTGTTGTCAGCAGAATTGGACTTTGGTCATATTGTAATAGTTTGATTTTTTTTTTTTTTTTTTTTTTTTTTTTTCTATTTTTAAGATGTTGCAAAAAACTAACAGCCCATCACCAAACCTTAAGCCTCTCGGGTTCTTAAGCAGAAGATATGAAGTAAGCAGCCTTAAAGTGCACTTTGGAACATTGGTGTCTGTGTACCCCTCAGTAACATAAGTTCTGAGGTTAAACACTAAGTGGTACTCTGAAAACAAAACCTTCTTATGACTGTCTTAGAAAAGAATCAGCTATTTTCAACTTTTCTGAAAGTGTATTTCTCTAACTATTAAAACATACTCTTTTTGCATATTGTTGTAACAGGCAATCTTTTTCAGGAGCAATCCTAAAGAGTAAGTTGTTTTGGGGGTGATTATTGTAATTGCTCTCAAACTCTTAAATTTCATTCAGGCTCCCTACTAAGTATTACACACTAGGAATTTGCATATTTGAAAATTTGACGTGGTTTATTTGAAATGCCATCTTTCTACAAATTGTTTGCAGAAGAACCAAAATGAGACTGTATGCTGATGGTTGGCCCTCTTCTACTTGTTTGCTATGCACATGAATGAGTGCCATTGTGTCCCGGCCGTGATTGACAAACAATGGAAGCCCTGTGGGGAGACTTCTGGAGTAATTTAACCTCGTGTATTGAAATGACAGGGCATTGCTAGGAAATGGCAATGAGAAAGCCCTTTCTGTTGACCTCTTACTTGAGCTCTGGGTATAGAACTGCGTGCTACCGTTATTTCCCAGGATTTCTGAGGTAGCACAGAATAGCAACCAAGTAGAAACAAGTTTAAAAAAAAAAAAGGGGGAGAAAGGTCTCATTACATAATTGGTGCAAGTGTAGCTGTCTAATTATCAGGTGCTGCTGGTGTGCAGAGGGGAAGGTCAGTGCCTCCACAGGGAGCTTAAAACCCTGAATCATTTCAGAAGGATTTAAAATCTGGTCACATGTTTAGCTCTGATTGTGGAGAATACTGCTTGGAACTTTAGATCTGTTCGACTTTTTGAGAAGTTATGTTTCGTATTTCTTTGTGAAATCAGTATGAAATATCTTTTGTATCTTTTTCTTACTGTACTGGCACCTTCACATTGTCATTCCATACTTGTTAGTACTGAATTAGTTGAGCTCACTGGAAGCCTCAGATTTTTTAGGTTTTGTAGTTTGCATTTCAAGTTTGCTTTACCCTTGGCATACATTCAGGTACTGATCTAATTTTATCAGGAAAAACAACAAGATGTTTCTTAATTGAGCTTCATACTTGTTCTCCTTCTTATTCTACCCTACCAGTAGCTAGAGAAAAGGACGTAGATGGGATCTACAGGGATGAAGGTGACTTGCTGTTCTGAGGAATCCTGTAGTTAATATAGTGGAATTACTGTGAGTATCACAGGCTTTTCTGCAAGACCCTGAGCCTCAGTGAGAACTGCCATTAAACCAAGTGGAATGAATGAAGTCTTAAATTTCAATGTTAATGTCTGTCACTTAGAATAAGTGGGTAACGTGAACTATAAACAGAAAATTAATATGATCAGTCTTAATTTAGATGGCATTTACAGGGAATGAGTACATTGTAAATAAGTTTGTCTAATTGTAAGTTAGGGCCTGGAGTAAAGTAAACCAGCAAAATGGGAGTTTTAGAATACTTTTGCTGAAATAGATAACATTTTGAAATCTAGTCTTTCAGAAGTGAAAGAATGCGCAGCGTGGGCTGCATGATTTGCCTCCTGCACTTATGGTTTACTCATTTCTGTTTTTTAAGAAACTTTTGTTTAGATGGGGGTCTTTTGTGCATCATATCAGAATTGTTTTCCTGTCTGGGGCAGCATTATCTTCTCTGACAAAGGCTGACTGCAGCTTTATAGCTGAGAACAGCTTATTAAAGGTGTTATTAGACAGTCTAAAGTTATTAAAAACAAAACAGTCCATAGGGACTGTAGCTGCCTTCTTTTTTTTTCTGCTCATTACTGGTGCTAAGTAACTCTTTTCCCTCTCCCAAACTGCTTGCAGCATTAGCATGTAAATGAAATCTCTCAGCAATCCCCTAGATCACAATAAGTTTACTGTGCAATTAAATGGAAATCTTTCCTTGCAGTTTCAGGGAGGTGTACGTTTCTGGACAAAACTTTTGAAATTGATTTGCAAACACTTGAGTTTTTTTTTTTTTTTTTTTTTTTTCCAAACTTCCCATACTGCAGGCAGTTGTAGAGTTACCATTAAACTGATCTTTGACTCAGTACCATCTTCATGTTGTGCTGCTTCTCCTCTTGAAAAGATCCCTTGTGATTTAGGTGGGCAAAGATGAGGCAGAGGAAAGACTATTGACAGATTCAGTTTACCCAGTCAAACTTCCCTTCCAGAAAGCACAGCTCTAACCCAGAGGCTGGTTATTTCCTGTGGGATATTTGGGCTATAAATGTAATTTAACCGGGAAGGTGTTGCCAATATGAGGCTATTTATATGTTGGCTGGCCCTAGCAGATAGTTCTTTAAGGTAACCTGCTTGAAGTGGTTAAATGAATGTCAGAGGTGTAGAAAGGTAATTGGTGTGCTATGCTGAAGATACAGCCAAGTAATTCTGAGATGTACCTCCATCAGTGTATCTGATGTTTCTCCAGGGGCTGGAAAAAAAAAGTGTTCTATTTATTATAATAATCATTTGCTCAAATAAAAATTGGTGACAAAAGAAAAGCTTCTAGATGGAAGTGTGATTTTTGTGGTTTAATGTACAAGCTTGTGATGTTTGAGTTCCATCCTTGTTTCAGCATTAGACCCGGGCAGATCACTTATTCTCTATGCATCTTTTCCTTCCAGAGTAAAACACAGATTATGATACTTGACAATCAAGTGCTGTGAAGCTGTCATTGATCATACATTACTTTGAAGATTAAAAGTGCTTTGTTTTTTGTTTATCATTTTACTTCTGAAATAAAAATTGTGAAGTTCAGTAGCTTTAAACACATTCAGCAAAGTTGCTCAGAGTTCTTTTGGGCTGTGTATGACATCCCTTGTTTCATCTTCTTTCTCTACAGGGTGAACCTAGAGGTTGTACTGAGCTTAACAAAAAAAAAAAAAGAAAAGAAAAAAGTGTTAGAGAGCAAAGTGAAGCTTCAAATGGTCTGTTTTTGTGTCCTTGTAGTCCTTCCTTCTTTGATCTTAAATGGAGAAGTAATAACAAGTTACCTTTGTCTTAAGAGATCTTGTGTTTTTCCTTTAAGAAATCCCTTATTAGTTCATCAGGTTACCTTTCCTGTTAAAATTAAGTTCATTCTGATAGACAATTCCCTGTTAATGATGTGAAGTTTGTATTAATTACACCCTACCAGGTGTTGAAGGCTGTATCCTTAGTAACAGAAATGGGAACCAAATAAAAATATATCCATTTATTTTTTTTTGTATACAGGCCATACTGGAAAAGGACAAATAGAGGTTTTTACATTGTGAACATCTGAAAGTCAGCCTGCAGGCATTCTTTTAGTTTCCCTACTGCAGTTGTTTTTTCAATCATGCTTCCCAAGTTCAGATAAGTCCTTTCTATTACAGAGTAAACTCTTTTGTCAGTTTGCTCTGCTTAGCTATGTGTGAGAGAAGAGTAGAAGTGCTCCTACCCGTGTTTTGCTGCAGGAGTTGTGGAACACGTGCCACCTTGCCTTGCTGTCCAAAGTCCTGTTGTGTTTTCACACCAGAGGGAGGATTAGTGGATGTTGGCCAGGTTTTCTCACCCACAGCTTCTAAATATCCAAGTTTCCCACCTCAGTCACGTGGGAGACCGCTGGTGGTTGGAGCATCTGAGGAGGAAGGCCTGAAGTGTCTGTCAGTACGTGTTCAGAATAAGTCATGTTTCAGAATAAATCTCTCTGAAATGAGGTCCTACAAGACAAAATGAAGACAGAAAGTTAGTGGATATAAATATACATGTGGTATTGCTGTATCATGCACTGAAATGTCTGCTGTAGTTTAACACACTTTAATGTGTTGGATAGACATTAATGATAGATGTATTTACAGATTTCCTTTTAAAATCAAGTTCTGATCATGGGTGTTTCTTTCTTGTCGTAATAGTTTGCTGCTTGGTAATGTTTAAGATCGTGTTTTCAGCATGCCTCCAAAAATGGGTCAGTGATAATCACAGATGTATTGAAAACCCCCAGGCAGAGCCACCTGCAAAATCCAGTGCAACAAAGTGTTAATATTAAAAATCTTCTCTTTTGTTTAGTCAGTTAATATCCTTGTAAGAGGGAGCCTGAAATTAAGCTCTGTAATGTTATGGTATAAAAATGTACTTTGCAACTTTGTAAATACCAAGTATGAGGGGGAAGTAGTTCTGGTCTGGAGTAAAGCATAGAGCTGAGAAGGTTTTGCACTGTACAAATGAAACCTGGATTAACAAGAAGATGTAAGTTCTAGCTTATTTGGTTTTTTTCTTTTTTACATTAAGGGGCTTTTTTATTCATGCCTTTAAAATCTGCGATTGTGCCTCCTTGAACATTAAACATGGCAACTCAGGCAGCTGAACTATGTATTTAATTACCTGGGATGCCATGGGAATTTCAACTTACTGCTGTGGACCTCCTGCCCCTACAGAGAGCTGTGTGTGAGAAAACGTGAGTGAGTGGTGGAGCTGCTTCAGGAACTGCCAAACTGTTTCTGCATCAGGATGATTTGGACAGACAGGAATTGTCAGCCTAAGTCTCAAGCATAAAAGATTACCAAAAGAAGAAAAGATTTCAAATTGAAAACAATTCCCTTGTTTGATACCGTACGCATCTTTGAGAGCAATGCAGTTTTCATTACTGTTGCATGGTTAAGTCAGATGAATAATGAAAGCAAGGTTTGTGTGTACAGATGCTGCTGCAGGCCCTTAATGAGAGAGAGATGCCAACAAATGCAGAGGAACTTGGAGGCTGGAAGCAGCTGTACTGTGAAGGAATCCTAAATGAATTTCAGAGCTGATTAAGAGAATTGGAGATCAGAGAAAGAGTGAGTAGAAAGTATTTTTTTTAACTCAAGCAGAGATTCAAGGGAGAAGATTTTGTGAAGTTGTGGCTTATTAGAACTAACATCAGCCTCATTAAATAGAGAAAGTGATTAGAAGATATTGAAAAGAAGAGTCCAATTAATCTGTTAGGTTTTCATGATGTGATATCCAACAGTTGTACAATACAGAGGAAACTGAGCCTTCAGGTAACTAGTCTTTGTAGCCCTGCTGATCAGCTGTTTTGTTCCCAGCAAGTGGGGTGACATTGGTTAAGACAATGCAGTGCACTGCATCTTCTGTTTATTTTATGAAGATCCATGTGTTCCCAGGGAACATGAAGGCCAGGCTGGACCAGACGGAGCAGCCTGATCTAGCTGTAGATGTCCCTGTTGCAGGGAAGTAAGACTAGATGATTGTTAAATGTCACTTCCAAATGGAACAATTCTGTGATTCCATGAACAGTGTTATACTAAATCTTTTTCAGAGCTAGGAGGTCAGAGGTTTCTGGAGCATCCATCGTGTCCTTTGACAGTAAAAGTGACTGTGAAATGACAAGATGTGACCTTGCTTGAAAGCAGAACTTCCAGTAAGCTTATTGGTGGCAAAAGAAGGTGAGTCAGAAGCTGATCTAAAGTCAGTTGTTTTAAGAAAGCAAAATTCTTAAAGGGTAGAAGGAGCCATGTAGCATCTGAGTCTGCAAAAAATTAATGCAATATGTTACACTGATGCCTTATAAAATTGCATTATGCTGTTGTACAGTCGGCCAGCTAAATTAAAATTAAACTAGAAGAGGAAAGCCAGACAGTACTTTGTTGTGAAATTGTGTTTTGTTCATGATGCTAACAGGAAGAAAATTGATAATATAGCAAAGATACAGATGATGGCTTAATCGTACGCTGCCATAAGATGCTCTTGGAAATTTCCCTCACACTCGTGTACTGTGCTAATTAATGGTAATCCAACTGGAGGATCCCAGAGCGATGCTTCTGCATATTTTTTCAGCTTATGCTGGTGCTCCTGTGTTCTTTTCTTAAATAATTAATTATCATTACTGCCTGCTGTGCTGCGGGTATGTGCTAGTGATCTCAGATCCCAGCGTATTTGCACCATTTCTGTTCCTGTCAGCAGCTTGGGTTTGCTCTTTGCCTAGGCTTTCATGTTAAGACCTTCATTAACTGGCAGTGGGGTATGGATTTCAGTGGCATCGAGCTTTGATGTCATTAAGTAGCAAGCTGCTAAAGGAAGTGCCACCTATTTCATTGCTGTGACTGTTTTTATGCAATTAAGTTAAATACCAAGCATAAAACAGATGCCTTTTAGTAAATAACACTTAGATAAAAAGGCTTTGTGTGCTTGCGGAGGATTTAGAGGGAAGCAACATTGCTGTTCAGCTCAGCAGGGAATGGAAATGCAGCTGGGTGACAGAACAGAGCCACACTCGTGGTTTGTCTTCAGTTACTCCTATTTTCTCCCTGGTCACTGTGCTGTTATTCTGCTTTGATCTGTGTGAGGGAAGGGTTACTTTGCCAAGACTTAAGATAGGGCCTCTGGTAGTGCTGGAACAAGCAGCAGGTGGGTGTTTGTCCTAGCTGGAGGGTCTTGGAAGATAGCAGGTTCAGTGTTTGCTTGAGTTTGAATTTTGCAGTATCTTCACAGTCTTAGTGGAGCACTCTAGGAAAGCAGCCACTCACCTGGCCTAACATGAACGCGATTTGTCTGATTCAGCACAACCGGAGCGGTGCTCCTCAGCCCTGCCGCGCTGCCCGGGACAGCTGGAGGGAAGGATGGAGCTCGCGGGGACATCCGGCACTGCAGCGGCTGCACCCAGGTAAGCGCCCGGCCGCAGCCGGTGTCTACAGTTGCGGGAGGCCCCGCCCCTTTCCACCAGGTCCCGCCCCCTTCCCTTCTGACCACGCCCCCGCTGCGGTCCCGCCCCTTCCAGCCTGGCCCCGCCCCTTCCTCCCGGCCGGCTCTCGGGTGGTGCCTGCGGCGCCGCCGCTGCCCAGGGCGCGGGGACGCGGCGGGTCCCTCCCCCGGAGCCGCCCAGGCGCCTCCCTCCGTCCCTCCCTGCCTCGTCGGGCCGCCGCGGTGAGTCACGACGGAGGAGGCGGCCGCTCCTCTCCGCTCCGCACGGCTCCGCTCGCCCGCGCTCACCGCCGCCCGCACCGCAGCACGCCGGGGCCGGCCCGGCCCCGCACGCAGGTGAGCGCGGCCGCCCTTTGTGCGCGGCGCCCGGCCGGGAACAAAGGCTCTCGCCCGGGCCGCCCGCCGCCCCAGGCCTCCGCGCCGGCTCCCGAGTCCCCTCCTGCCCCCGGCCCGGTGCGGAGCCGCAGCCCCGGGGCTCCCCGTACCCCGGGGCCCGGCCACGGCCACCTGCGGAGCGGGCGGACGCTGCGAGGCCGTGGCCCCGGCACACAGGTACGGGAGGTGCCCTACTCGTTTTCTGGCATCATCCCTTACGTCATGTGGCACCCTGGCTCAGGGCGGCTGGGTCCCAGCCCAGAAATGGCTGCGTGAAGCAATTCCCTCGTCAGTGTGTGCTGGGGGTGGTGGGACCGCTGGTGTCACCTCCGTGGGGCTCCTGCAGCCCTCCGTGCCTGACCGTCACCTCGGGGCCAGCACCCGCCGCGGTCTGTGTTGGATGGTGAACTTCTGTGGGTAATCTGCCATGACTCCAAGCTGTGTGTCTGCTCAGGGTCTTCTAGAGCATCTGAAGCAGCACTCTAACTTTCTACTGGGTGTAAAGATGGGCAGTATCTGCAGGCTGGCTTAGCTCTATCTTGGAAAGATGCGTGAGCAGCGTCAATTTCCAAATCAGAATGGGATTGTATGCTAGAAAGCAGACAACGGATGAGAGTTTCTGCATAACATCCAGATGCCCTTCATCAGGGTATGTTTGACTTGTAGACTGATGTTTGTTTTCTCTCCCCTCAAGAGGAGGATTTTTTGTTCTGCTGTATATCATCTTTTATTTGACCATTCCTCATCTTGGTACATTTAACAAAGTAAGCTTTGATGCTCTGTGGGATGAGAGGAAGACATTCTGCAGATGCGATGCTTAATAAAAGCCACCAGGCCAGACGCAGGGGGGATGTTAGGTGTGCTTACTTAGATTTCTCCTCCAGCTTGACTGCTATGGTGATTAACACATCTTTGGAGTATTTGGAGAACATCACCTTTATAAAAAATATATATATATATTACAAAATCCAGATTTCCTGTTTAATTATTGTTGGTCTATGAACTTGCAAGCTCGGCTCCTTTTGCCCTTGATATTTTCAGAGCTCGTGTGTGACACAGGGTATCCTGTTGAAGGAGAAACATGTGAAATGATGGGAATGAGGCTGCGTGCTTCAAAGAACTTTATTTTGGAAGTAGGAGACCTTTAAGTTGACAAAGCTCAGGTTAGTATCTTTTGTAAACCCAGGCTTCTCTCTCTTATTTCAAAGATTGTAAATAGAATCAGCTGGAAGATACTGACCAGTGTACTTCAGGTACACTGGGGGTGCTTTGTTTTGGCATTAGCTGAGAAAGCATCGTCCATTATACTGTAGTTCTGGTGTCTTGGTTGAAATTAGAACCTTCTTCTATATAACTTAGAATTGTTGGTGAGGTGGTTTGAATGCTCTTCTAGTTGATGTGGTGCAGCGTAAGAGTGAAAAATCTACAAGGAAGCCAGCAGGCCTGGGTGAGTGATGGAGTAAAGGCCACTTCCAAAATGTTAACTGGTAGCGATTGGATGAAGTTTTATGACTTACCCGCAACTGCTTCAGTTAGTATAGTGTTGGTGTAGTTCATCTGAAGCATTGCCAGAGGAGTTATGAGAAGTTAACACAAGTGCTTTCAGTGTTCCATGGCATCCAACTGGGAGGGCACTGTAATCCTCAGGAAATGGTCCTGCAGCCTGATAGGAGTCTGGGCAGTGCGTGCACATCAGGCGGAGCACTGCTGTCCCTCACCTAAGTGCCTGTTTGCAGTTGTGTGTAGGAGCTCCATGTGCTGCACAGACGGTAGAGATCGGTGAGCAGAGGGGTTATTTCTTTGCTTACAATACTAATTGAAGCTTCTATCATCTGAACTAGTATCAGTACTGGTAGGTTCCAAAACCAAACAATGGTGTGTATTGGATGAGGTGAGACCACTGCTAAGGGCTGATGACTTGCTTTGGGAGCTTCTAATTTGGAGATATCTATTTATAATAGCTTAATAGGAGTGATATTTTTTTTTCTCTACAGCACGTTTATCACCTGTGTCTGATGTATACCTTCAGGTTTTTTAGTAGATATTTTTATTCTTGAGCTTGTTGCTGGCTATGAAGCTTCCCTCCTGAGTGTCTGGCCTAGTTTCAGGTGTCAAAGATGCTCCAAAGTGGGGTGCACACAGAGGCTTTGGTAAGCTTCTGTTGAGTATGAATGGAGAAACTTCCCATAGAGGCTTTGTAAGAAAGGAGGGATTCCTTCTTTTGTTGACCCAAGTGAATAGCTACAAGGTGCTTATGCTTGGCTTTTCAGATACTGAGAGTAAATGACTTTGTAGTAGGCTTCCAAATATCTTAACAGTGATGATAAAACTAGTCAGCTGTGTTCTGTGTTTCGCCTGTTACTGCTCAGAACGGTGCTTCTGAAATGGTATGGTAGGATGTTCAGCCCAAAATAAACTTTCAGTTTGTAAAAACAAAGATATGAAGAACAGGAAAGAAATCATAGCACTTAATAGTTTTCACTGAGCCCTCTTTAAAACCAGTTAGTCCTGTATATTTTTCTAGCAGATGAACCAAAGTCCATCCTGTCTTGTAAGATTCTTTCTGAAAATATCAGTCTACAAGTTGTTTCCAGTTTGAGTGATGGGATTTGCTGGAAAAGTATTAATTTCATTTGCAAGTATGCCAGTATGTGACCAGCCCTGGAATATGGTCATGTTTTGATGCTGATATGCAGTGAAGATGTGAATTAGTGTAACAACAATGTTTTGTTACCTACCACACCCTCAGAAATGGTGATGGTCTGATAGCCTTGGTTGTACATATGTGAGAGAAACATTATTCTCATAAGCTTTACGTTTAATAAAAATCTTGGTGCTGACAAACTTAAATTCATGTGGGAAAACAAAAACCAAACAATGTTTTGTTACTGTTCTCGATGCTATTCTGTCTCTTAAGAATGGATGAAGCTTACAGCTCTTTTTCCCATGTCTTCAATTGGCCAAAACCAGAAAGCAGCGAGACATCACTGTTGGTTTTGCTCATTTTGCTCTGGTGGGTGAAAAAAAAAAATGAAAGATGGGACAAATGAGGAACTTCAGCTGGTAATTGAATGAGTGGAATACTCTTCTCAGGTCTGTTTGGAGACACAGCACTGGGAGAAAGGTAGGTAACAAATGTTCCTAAAAGGGGGGAAAGAGAATTAATGGTTTCTGCTCACTGGTGTTATCTGGTGGAATGTAACAGTGTTTATATATAGCTGAAATGCCAGTTTGAGTTTAAGAAGAGTAATCATCCTTCTGCTTCTCAGTGACCCAACATCACATCTGAACCTGTGTTTCAGAAGCAAACCCAAATGCCCAAAAATCTCATCTGGAGTTGAATTGATATAGAAAGAGCTCTAAAAACTTTGGTTGGGACTGGCAGAATTCCACTGACTGGGGAGCAGAACTGTAGCCAGTAGATTCTGTTGCACTGTAATCATTCTGTTTCCTGTATTTAGACCTAGAGCGTATTTGATTTTTAGAAACTTTCTCAATATGTGATGAGCATAAGTAACAAAAATAGAAGCAACTTAGGCAATCAGCTCTGTGTGACCATGAGCAAACTCTGAGACTTTGACTCAATTTATCCTATAAAAATGAGTTGACTAATTCACAAGGATGTTGTGATGTTTAATTAAGTGTAATTGTTTTGTGTTTGAACTCACCTAGGTCTTGATTCAGTCCACACAGAGTCAGTGAGGAGCTTTTAATTAATTTCTTGGAGTTTTAACAAAGTGTACACACACCCATGCACACTTGAAGGAAATGTGACCTAAATCTTTGCAGCAGAGTTTCTGTAGGGTGTAAAGGCTGAAGCAACTTGAAGTACATTATCAATGGAGGCCTTTTGTACAACTGGGAGGGGATTGGTGCATTTCCATTGCTCTCTGACATCTGCTGCTGTAATGATTGAATTGAGATTGTTTGTGCTGTGTCTTACATGGGATGTTGATGATTTCATTGTGTCTTGGTGGCTTGCTCAGTTGGTCCAGGAGGGTAATATCAGGCTTGAAGATAAATGTGGAAAGTGGACGTTGATGCAGAAATGATCAGCAATAATGCACTTAAAATATAATTAACTATAGGAATTGATGCCAAGTGGAGAAAAGTAGGAGCATTCACATCAGCTTAGCTGCTTTTTTGGCAGGAATGCATGTAGATGCCAAATAATACTCACTGGTTTATGTGGAATTTGGGAAAGTGTTTGCTTAACTCCACAGGTCAGAAGTGCTTTTTTTTTTTTTTTTTTTAAGAGAACTTTTTTCACTGCATGTTGGTCAGCAGCTACAGATGGCTGCAGAATGAATCTTTCACAAATCACACACAGCTTTTTGCAGAACTTTTCTCACGTTTTACTGCCATGATTCTTACTTCACTGGCTTCTACAAAAGATACTTTAATCCTTAAATAAAAGCCTTTGTGTAATAATGCATATGTGTGAAGAAATGGTTTTGGCACTTTGCTTTTAATACATCCATTTCATTTTCTAAGCAGCTGCAATTTTTGACATGACTGCCACAAGCTCCTTGCTTCTGTTGATGCTAATAAGGATGTACTGTGGAAAGGGCAGAAATCTGT